TGCTTTGGGGAACTTAATCCTTGCATTGCTGGGGTATAATTATCACCCCGTTTCATGCTTTTTCTTTTGGTGCAGGTGGACCAGGCACATCAGTGTTATTGCAAGTGGTGACCACACAGGAGTCAGAGACTCCCATTTGGTGAGGCATCTTGCTCACACTGAGCAGTTTGCTCAAACACCATCAGGGCTCAGGGGTCAAAGTGATGTTAGCACACTGCAATGGAAGTCTCCTTGGCAGAAGAGCGGATAGAAGCAGGGATTTGATGGAATTTTGTTGAAGTGAGGCAGAGGAGGGCTCCCTAGGTGCCTTTCTATGAGGCAAGAACAAGCAGCGAGTGATGCAGGAAGCAGAGGGGCACAGAGTCAGCCCTCGCCTCAGCCTCCGGGAAGTGCTGAGTAGAGGCCCAGAGGGTGGACGAGGCAGGTGCTCCAGGCTCTGGGAATGGGGGCAACATGAAGGACACACATCCAAGCCCTGGTGGGCCCTAAACAATAGGGATGCGGGACTGAACGAGGACAGTTGGGTCTCAGGGAGCTCACAGGGGACACCAGGGCAGAGAGGGGATGTGCTCAGGTGTTGGGGCAAGAAAGGGACAGCCACTCAGCATTTGCCCTCCCTGCAAGAGCCCATGTGGCTCCTTGTCTGTCTTCATCCCCATCTCTGCCCACACACACCCTTCATGGAGCTTCCTTCCCCCTCCCTCTTGCCTCCCTGCCGTGTCCTCCAATCTCTTCCCTTCCTCACCACCCCTTGGTTTAGCACGAATCACGACCTGGCATTCTTTTATGTTTATGCACTATCTTTGTCTTCCCTGCCAGAATGTAATCTCTATGTGGACAGGATTTTGTTTCATTCAGACACAGATCTAGGGTCTAGAATAGCATCTGGTGCCCAGTAGATGTTTCACAAACATGCACCAGCTGAATAAGGAAATGCAAGTTGAGCTGAGGTTGGGAGGCCAGCAGGACTCAGCTGGAGGTCACTGGGGCTGAATAAAGGACCAGAGGCAAGAGTGGGAAGCAGCTGTGGCTTTGTTTGGAGTCTGGAGGGAACTAAGTGTCTCCCAGGGCATCCCCTGCATGATATCCCAGCCAGAGTGCAGCCAGTCCCCCTGGCCTGGCCACCCTGAAGTTGGCTGGGTGCTTCCCTGGCCATCCTCCACCCCTGCCCACTCTAGCCCAGTCATTACCACCACTGATCCTGGCAAATGCAAAATCACTGGGGCCTCTCCAGCCAGCAGGACAAACTCAGGCCTGGAAAACTGGGGGAAAATGCTCAGAGTTACTTACAGTAGAGAAGAGAAACAAGTCCCAGGCTTTGGGTCTGGGCTTACCTCCCACCCCCCACCAGCACGTGTCCCCCAGAACCAGCAAGAAACAGGCCACACTGGACTGACGCCCCACTGAGCTGGGTATCCAAAGCAGAAGCCTTATAGGGGGATATAGGGTATGGGAAACATCTGGTCTTAATCTGAATACAGGGATATCCAGAGTGAATTATTATGTAAGTTTCATAAGTCACATAGCTTTTCATGATCTTCTGTATGTGTCAAAAGTAAGAATATGTTATGCAGTATAAATATATACAGAATGTAATAAAAAGCTTCTTTAGAAGCAAAAAGCAGCTCAGCGCCTGTGGCTCAAGTAGCTAAGGCGTCAGCCACATACACCTAAGGTGGTAGGTTTGAATCCAGCCTGGGACTGCCAAAACAACAATGATGGCTGCAACCAAAAAATAGCCAGGCATTGTAGCAGGCGCTTGTGGTCCCAGCTACTTGGGAGGCTGAGCAGGAGACTCACTTGAGCCCAGGAGTTGGAGGTTGCTGTAAGCTGTGATGCCACAGCACACTGCCCAAGGGGACAGCTTGAGGCTCTGTCTCAAAAAAAAAAAAAAAAAAGCAAAAACCATTTTTCTAGCTCTGGATGTTGAATCAATGGCATATGGGTGGGCAGCTCCTGCTCTCAGTTTCACAATATTTCACCTGTGTCTTACACTCCTGACCCAGAAAATTCGGTAATACCCAGCATTATTTAAACCCAGCCATCATCTTCTGGGGTGCATATGCTCTACCCATTTTACAGGTGAGGAAATTAAGGCTCTACAAGATTGTGAACTAAAATACAATCTTAACCCTCATCAACTAACTGGATCCCCGCTTGGCCAAGAGGATTCCTAAAATTGAGTTGCTGGCCATGAGAAAGGAGATCTGACAGGGCTGGGCTCATCATGCCCCCGGTCCTTCTTAGAGATGGTCTTTTGACTCCCTAATAGGCCTAAGGCTATTCAAGACCTACCTGCATGTCCTCCATATACTACTTTGTCTCTAATTAATAGATCTTTTATCTTAAGCATTGCTCCCACTGACTCCAGGTCTTTTAGACAGAGCATAACATTCAGCCAATTGTCAGCTAAAGAATCTTTAAACCCACCAATAACCTGTAAGCTCCTGCTTCCAGATGTCCCACCTTTGGGGGCCAAACCAATGCATATTTTTCACATATTGATTTATGACCCACCTGTAATCCCTGTCTCCCTAAAACGTATAAAACCAAACTATAACCCCACCACTGAGTCCACTTGCTCAAGGCTTCTTGGGTGTGGCTCCAGGACATGGTCCTCCAATTTGACTCAGAATAAACCTCCTTAAATTATTTTACAGACTCTGGCTTCTTTTCTGTTGCCAAGATCAAGAAGCTCATCCACATCTTCTCACCAGAAAAAGACAGGGTTGCATGGGGCACCTAAAGTGGGACTCTTGTCAGGAGGCCAAAATTCCAGCCCAGGAGTGACCTGCGTCCTGGAAGTGTCCCCAGTAGAAGCATCTTTAGTGAGTGATCATGTAGAAAATCCAAAAGAGGTGAGCAAGCACTTTAGGACCTCCTCCAGCCCCAGCTCATACAAGCCAGAGTGGCCTAGGAGCGTGCCAGGCAGAGTGTGGGAACTTGGGCCACACAGGAGGAGGGATGTCCTAAGGCTATTTGAGGCTCAGCTCAGCCTCTCATTAGTTGAGAGGATTTAACTTATTAGCTTAGACAGACAGACGCCTTCTGGGGGCATCTAGGAACATCCAGTGTTCCCAAAGGGTCCCAGATGCTGAGACAGAAGGTCTGGGGGAGGCAGCCTCCTCAGTGAACACCCTGGAACACTGAACTTCTCCCAGTCACTGTGGACTCATGTTATTAAAACTGTTTCTCAGCTCACAGCAATCTTGAGGAAGGGGTGCTTTATTCCAAACACCAGAAGCAGCAATGATAGCTGGAGCCAGGGCAGTTTCTGGGAGAGCCCTCTGACCTGAGGGTATGTCCTGGGACATTCTTTGATCTCACCCCCCAGCACAGACTCAGCAAGCTGACCCCTCAGCCCAGCACATTCTACTGTAAGGAGGCATTGAGGGTACCAGAAGGCACAGGCATGCTGGCAGGGGCACCCAACACCCCTTCGGTCAGCCTGGCATTCAAGGTTGGGCAAGTTGGCCCAGCTGCTACTCCCTGGCCTCAACTCAATACACTACCCCCGGCCCGATTACCCTCATTGTTAGAGGGGAGACTTCACCTCTGAGCTGTTCAGTGGACCTGGTTGGGTTCGCCCAACAGAACTAGAGAGTCTGGCTGAATCAAAGGATTCAGCCAAAGGAGTCTAGCTGAATCAAACACTTCCCCCTCTTCCTCCTCCCTCTCCCTCTCCTCCTCCTCCTTTCCTCCAAAGACAAAGAACACAAAGGTCCTAGTTAGCCCCACCCCTGAAGTTAGTGCCAAATTAGTGCCAAAGGACCCTACCACACCAAAGCCCTCTGGCAAGCTGTGAAATTTGCCCACCACCTATGGCCTCATATAAAAAAGTTCTCCAACTGTCCCCATGCAGAAGCTCTCTTAGCACTGCCCAGGTGGGTCATGTCCATTTCAATAAACTTGAACTTCTCTCCCTTCTTGTTTGGGTACAGCTGCTTACACCTTTCAAAAGGGAGAGCAGGAAACTGGGGGAGTGAAAAACGAGGCAGCTGGGAGTCCAATATAGCAGAAAAAGAAGTACAGTTTTTATTTAAAGTGAAGCAGAGATAAGTATAGGCTTTTCCAGGAGAGTGAGAAAGGGTCCCCACCGTGAGAGGAGACGCCACACAAAGGCAGTCACCAATATAAGCACTTTCATCCCAATTCCTCCTACATTCATGTATAAGAATTCCCCTTGGTTCCCCTTAGGCCTTCAGAGATGCTGCCCTGGTTTCATTGGTTGCCACATAAATCCAATTTTCTTTACTCTGTATCAATAAGTATTAGTGTTATTTGTGTTATTTTGCTAGCGAAGGTGTGCCAAAATCTGTAAGCCTCTTTGTTTTATAGGGGGATCATTCACCAACTAGAGGTCATAAGTCATGGGCTAGAAGTTATATTTTACAGAACTAGTACATTATTGGTCAATTAGGTTCACACCTACCCCCAAATTCCTGGTTTTGCTTCAGGGTCCTTCCGGACTTTCTTGTCCAAAAGGCTATAATTCTCTCCTACTTCCCTGTAGCCCCTTTAACCTCCTTCCATCCCTAATCACTCATTACTGATGTTAAAGGAAAAAGACTCAAGCTCTGTAAAATAACTTAGAGATGGTTTATCCTCAGCCACATACGTGTGATTGACCAGGAGCACATGGCCTTAAGAGGTCCTGAAAAAAGGTGCCCACAGTAGCTAGGTGACAGTTTGTTTTTATACATTCATGGAGACAGGAATTGCCCTAAGACCATAAGTCAATATGCCAAGGGAATATATTGGTTTGGCCCCAAAAGGTGGGACTTTGGGGGCGGGGGGACAGTGGTTATAGACTTGAGGTGAGTTTAAAGATTTTTTGTTTTATAATTGGTCAAAGAAAGGAAGCTTTGTCTAAAGGCTTGGAATAAGAGTGTCTGTTAATCTGAGGCAAACTACCAGATAGTCACGTAAACTCGAGAGCTCTGTTGAGTTGATGTCTGTAGTGTGGTTTAAGCTTTGTCTTGCACAGTCTTAGGCCTGTTAATGACTTACAAAGGGTATCTGCAAGAAGAGAAGAGACAAGAGGGGCATGTCTGACCTCCCTTCTTACAGCCAGCAACTAGACTTTAGGGTATTTCCAGGGTTGTTAGGTAGGGATAAGGAGGGAGAGGAACAGATCGTACTAGGAGATGCTTTGTCCACAATAAGAGGAACAAAATTGCAAAAAGGGGCTTCCGGAAATGAATAGATGCCTTAAACAAGGGGTTTCCAAGGACCGAAGATATGTTTGATCCGTGATAGGGGCTCCAGGGACTAACCAACCAGAAAGAGGTAGAGAGGCAATTAACCAATGATGTACCATTTCTGTAAAATACAACTTCTATATTAGAGTAGAATACGGCCAAGGCCACAAAATGAGGTGTTTGGAGCATGCCTACAAGCAAGATGACAGTGTCCTCAAATGACCTACCCTCACTAACATGGTAAAAGTCATACCCACCAGTGCCATAACAGTTTACAGATACCAGCAAGTTACCCTACAATGTCAGGAAGATGGAAGGCTCCCCGTTCTGGGAACTTTCCCCCCTTTCCCAGAAAAATTCATAAATATTCCACCCCCAGCTTAACATATTATTAAGGATTAGAAGAAAAGGACAAGCCCTAACTGAAGGGGGCACAGTCCGCTGTTTACTGACTTTGAGAGTGCGCTGTACTTTCTGTACTCTGTCTTTAAGCTCAACCTTCTCCACTCATGGTCTCTCTCTCTCTCTGGAACATAGTATGCTTATGCTTTTAATAAGTCTTACTATCTGGCTTGGTTATATCTGTCTGGTTTGCTCACTTAATCCACTGACTTGTGCCAGTAACCATTCTTCAGCATTGGGAACCAAGAACCAGAAAACATGAACCTGACATCTGGTCCCCACACCTGGCAGGGTTCCCTTGGCCAAGAGCAGGTCTATTCACTCAGCAGGGGGTGCTTAAGATTTTCTTTTAGTTCCCACCAACCAGAAGGGAGACTCGTTGCCTAAAGAAGCCCTCCCTGCTGTCTCAATCTGTGCTCCCACATTTCATCTGTTCAGAAGGCCACTTCCAAGTCCATTGGCCCCTCTTACCATGTACCATGCTTTGCTACTGCCCTGCACACCTGCTGAGGAGTGGGGTCTAATCTTCAACCTTTTATCCTACCCAATATTGGCCACAGAGCCTGCCCCAGTGAGACTACTCAATGCATTGAATGACTATGCCCTAAATTGTAATTTTCAGATTCTTGTTAGTCCAATTCTATAAAGCTCAGCACACAAAGCCCTGCCTGTTTTCAGCCACTGTTAGCCCCCACCCCCACCCCCACCCCAGCTTTCTGCTCAGACCTCTCTGAGGAGTGTTGCTTACCTTTCCTTTTCTTTGCAGGAAACCCCTTTGAGACGGAGTTGCAGGTCGTGAACTTTCTGCCCTGGAGAGTGCAGATCCAGAGCTGAGCCTCCTGCCTTCCTGATGGTCCTGGGGAACTGCACCTGGGAGAGTGCTGGCCAGGGGCAGAGAAAGGAATGAGTAAGTCTCCTTGGCAGTGGTAAAGGTTTCCTCTACCCAATGAAAGGCCACCACTGCAGATGCTCTGCTGGACAGAGTGCACATGAGCTTCATGTCACCTTCACCCCTGCCTCTGGGGAATTATCACACCCACTTTTCAAGTGGGGAAGCTGAGGACCAAGAAGTCAGGCTGTCCAGCCACAGGGGTGACGCAGGACTGGAAATGCACAGCCACAGCCTGCTTCTTCCCCACTCTGTGACTCTGCCTCTCTGCTTGCAGTACCATGACCCCAGGTCTCCAGCAACCTGAATGGGTCAGGAACTGTAGAGGGTTCCTTAGAATTTTATATATTATGCAAAATATTTTGACAATAAACATGTATCATATATACAATCAAGGGGAATAAACTGTTTTCACTGAGGAAATACAGTTTTGGACGACAGGAAAATCATTGCTAGGTGAACTATACAATAGTCCATCAAGGCACTAGCTGCAGACTTGACATCAAGTACAGCCTAAGCCACTGGCCAAACCCTGGAGAGATAAGATACTGTCACAGCCCTCAACAAATCAATGTATAAATAAATAAAATTGCCAAATTTCAAAATGCACAGTTTCCCAGTCCAAGAAGATATGGGTCCATGTAGGTTCTGATCCCATTTATACACCATGTATTAGATGTTTGCAAAACGGCCACCAGTTTTCTCCCTGGCCCATGCCCTTTGCAGTGTGACTTTTTTTCCTCCTCCCATCAAGAGATAGAGTCCATTTCCCTAATCCTTGAATCTGGGCCAGAGGCTTGATCCCATCCCATCAAGACATCCCTCCTCCCATCAAGAGATAGAGTCCATTTCCCCAATCCTTAAATCTGGAGGTTTGCTTTGCCAATATTATGAGGTAGAAGTGGTGGAGGGCTAGTTCTGAAGACTCT